CCCCCCCGCCCACCCGGCACGATGCCTTTGGGCTGGCGGCCTGCATGCCGGGAATGCCGATCGTGCAGGCACACACCCACACCCACGCACAAACATCCCCCCTCCCCCGCTTCTCCTCCCTCTCCCCCTCTTCCCCTCAACAGGGGCCTGTCCTTTCCTTGCTTTCTTCTCCCCTCCCCCCCCCCTTCTTGCAACACGTTTGGGAAGCATGGCAGCCCCCCCGGCCCGGCACCTGGACTTTGGCACCCTGGCCAGGCAGGGCCGCGCAGTGGATGACGGCTTGGTCCGGCTGCAGCGCCTGCTGGCATCGGCCGGTGATCCGGGCCTGGCATCGGCTCTCAGCTCCTCCTTCATGCCGACCGACCACGCTGATGCCGAACACCCGACGACACCGGCCACCGTGGCCACCGTGGCCACCGGCGATCCGGCGGCCGCTGTGCGCCAAGTGGCCGAGCACCTGGAACGCTCGGGCAATGAAATGGCCAGCGAGCTGGGCCTGGCCCGACAGGCACTCGCCCGGGCGCAGCTTCGTGATCCCTTCCGGGCCGCATGCGACTTGAGCCGGGAACTGGCCGGCTGGATGCGTACTTGTGAGCAGCGTGTGGTCGCTTTCGGCTTTGAGGCGATCGGTGCGCACATGCATGGCCTCTTTGTGTGCGGGCGCCCGCCCTGTCCCTGGTGACTGACCTCCGCCCGCGGGGATACATGTTAGAACTGCCGGAAGTCCTATTTGTGGACCCCCTCACGTATGGTGCTGCCAACCGGGCGCATGCCTCCAAGATGGCACAGCCACATGCGGAGCCCGGGCTCTCCGCCACCGGGCCAGCCTCGGACTTGAGCCGGTCGCAGCTCGCATCCAGCCACCATGGGCTGACGGCTTTCAATCGGTCGCAGCTGAGCACCAGCCAGGGCCCCGGCTCCTTGGGGCCCAATTCGCACCTGAGCTCCAGCCAGCATGTGGCCCAGGATCCCGATCGGTCGCACCTGGGCACCAGTCAGTATGGCGGCTCGGGGCTTTCTTCCCATCCACCAGCGATGGCCAGTCAGTCGCATGCGGCCGCGGTGCTCGGGCGCTCGCAGCTCGGCACCAGTCACGGCCCCTCGGCATCGGCGCACTCCCACATGGCGGCCAGTCGCCAGCATGATGTCGCGGACCTTTCGCGCTCGCACCAGGGCCCAAGCCAATGTGGCAGTTCGACCCGCGGGCGGTCGCACGCCGCTGGCCAGGCCACTCTCAAGTGCGAGCCCCATGCCACCGAGGGCCCGAGCTTCCAAATGCCCTCGGAATTCCTTTCCCGATCGCTCAACGGCCCGGAGCAGCCAAGCCTGGCCCCGGCACATGCCGCCACTCCGCGCAGTCAGTCCTTCCTGGCGGCCTCCGGCAGCATTCATCGGCCCACTCCGGGGCCCGGGCCCTCGCGTCCGGGTGAGCGCCCTTCACTGACGCTGGCCGACCTGGCCGGGCCCTCGCCCCCGCCCGCCGGGGCCGAAGAGGAAGCCGCGGAGGAGGCTCGCGCCGGTGCTCCGGGGTCCGACAGCCTGCGCAAGGTTGATCGCCCCTCCTTTTCGCAGTCCATGCGTGCTGGCAAGGCCTCCGCGTCGGCCGCCGATTCCCGAGACAGGGGCCTCCATGCCTCGGTAGGGTCTCTCTCCCGGTCCCTCGGTCTGAGCGGTGGTCCAGATGACCACCGGCCACGGCACGCTGACGCGTCGACCGTTAGCCGGCCCCCTGCGCTGCCTGTGCGGCCCCCGGCTCCGGGCCCCTCTCGGCCGGTCACTGCTCCGAGCATTCTGCTGGAGTCCCTGCCAGCCAGCCTGGTGTCCTCCCTCTCGCAGGTGGCACTGGCGGCCTTGCTGGACAACTCGACGCACGAGCTGGGCCGGTCCTTCGGCCAGGCGTCATCCAGCCGCCGGGCGTCGTTGGTGTCGGACTCGGGGTCCGGGCTGCCGGTCGTAGCCACTTCGAATTCGGCAGCTGAGGCGGCGATCGCAGTTGCCCCCTCGCCGGCACCCTCGCCGGCACCCTCTCGGGGCCCGTCTCCCGCCCCCCCCTCTCCGTCATCCCTCTCGGCCTCCTTTTCGACATCGGTAAACCGGTCGGCTGCCACCGGGGAGGGGGACTCTTTGGCGCCTGCGGCACCGCTGGCCGCTTCAGCCGTCCAAACTACCTCGCTCTCGTCGTCCCTCACAACTGTACGCACCTCCTCGGCTCGGTTCACCTTTTCACGATCGACATCGGAGAACAATGAGGCCCGGCCCTCTGCGCCGCAGGCCAGCCATCGGGTCGATTTGCAGCAACTCGGCCTGTCAGAGGAGTCGCTGCTTTTCCTCCAGCAGAACATGCCGTGAACGCCAATATATGCCCCCACCTGTACATGAATGCGCATGCACACACGCACACACA